CTACTGCTACTAGTACTACCACCACCACTACTACGGTTACTACCACCAGCACCAGCACCACCATGAGCACGACGACAATCTACACTCGAGTCCGAAAGTCCCCAGAGTAACCCTAAACCCTAAACGCACAAGTCGAGATGTGTACAACAATAAAATACACCTTAAATCCTAAACCCTTATCGCTACAGACCTTGCCAGGCTTGTCCGAGTATGAGTGTCAAAGACCTTAAACCCCTACACCCCAACATCCCTAAAGCCCTAAACCCCTGCTCCCATAAACCCTAAACCCTCGCCAGTCCTGGTTCCTGAGCCACTGGTGGGGCACGCCGGCTGCGGGCTCAGGAAGACAAGCCCGAGAGTTGCAAAGGTCCCTACTACTAAGGTCCCTGCTGCTGCTGCTGCTACTACTACTACTACTACAACGACCACTACGACCACTACTACGACTACTCCTCTCACGGCTTAGGGTTTGGGGTGGGATGTTGTACAGGGTCTTGTTGAATCTCTGGATGCTATGAAGCTGAGGCCGAAACCCCCGAAACCCTAAACCGCCCAGCAACGCGGGCTCGTCCTTGCGAAGTAGGAGGCAAACAAAACCAGTCAAGCCTGAAGCGGGTGTTCCGGCTTCAGTCGAGTGGCCTTCCTATTTCAGGAGCGTCGGGTGGCATCCTCCCCGTCGCTGCCCCATCCTTTCAACCATCCTCAAGCCACCCCCCAGGTCGTCGCTCTCGCCGATTGCGTGTTGAAGCACGGAGGAACACATGGACTTGGCCCGGACAGCTCCTACTGGACTGCGAGAAGGGCTTCGGGCCTGGGGGTCAAAGCGTTTAATTCTGAAGAGGACTTTTATAAAGAACTTCTCTAGAGTTCAGGGTTGGTGGAGCTTGCTTCAGCTACGACATTCGGTTCGGCTACAGCTTCTCTCTCTCATGGTCTGGACTAGGTTTCACGTGAGCTGACAAGGGCTTCCGCGCAGACCGGTTTAGGAAGTGCCCATCAGCTGGAGCAACCCCGATCGCCCCGATCCCCCAAAGAGTCGGAAGAGGATTTGGGCTCTCGCTTGCCGGCTCTCTGCAAAGCAAAGTGTGGGAGCTCAGCTTCACAAGCTCTACAGACTCCTCTGCAGACAGAGTTGGCTTCAGGGTTTGGGCCTTGGTTTAGTGACGTTTGGGGTTCGAGGTTCGAGGCTTGAGGTCTTGGCAAATTCAGCTGGGGTTCGGTTTGAATTGAGTACATTTCTCGGACGTAGCTGGGCCGGAAGTAGTCAGAACAGTGCAAGGTAGCATAGTGACATAGAGTGTAGTGGGAGCTTGAGGCGTGTATGGCAGAGTAGCTGAGGGGTTGCCTCGCAGGGAGCGCTCTGTGAATCTAAAGGGGTCTACTAAAGAGTTATGAGGCAGAATTGGTAAACCGCAAAATTCAGTTAGTTGGAAGCCGGATTAAGGACAAATTAATATTTGGGATTGCCGATAAGTTCTTCTTAGGGATCGATCGAGGCTATTGGGTTTCTCAACTTTTGGGCTTCCGATGTCTGGGCAACGAAGAGCCCCGAGCCATGAGAAGACGCCTCTGCTCTGTTTCAAGGCCCACTCCCCCTAAAGGGTTTAGGGTTTAGGGTTTGGGGTTTAGGGTTTAGGGTTGGGCCCTAAACCCTTGGCATTGATCATTCTTGGGCTTTCGGCCTTCTTCCTAAACTCTAAACCCGAGAGTCCCAAACCTGGGCCATCCTAAAGCCTAAGCCCTACTCTTTGGGGAGGGGGGATTTTTTGGGAGCCCTCCCTCAGGCCTAGGCTGCCGAAGAGTTCCAAGCCAGGCCTTTGGAAGGCCCCGAAGCCCCAAAGTTAAAGCTGAGGCGAGATCACCGAGAATCCCATGGAGGCCGGAAACCCTGGACACTTTCGCCAGCCGGAGGCTCTAGTGTTCGAAATGCCGAGAGCAACCCGAAGCACAGAAGCCCGCAGAGAGCTTCTTGCCACCTGATTAGGTTTGCTCTGACTGCTCTTGCGTAAGCTGCTGTTGAGCTTCGTGCACGCTTTGTGAGAAGCTTGCACGAAGCTCGCACAAGACAAGGCTGTGCTACCCGAAGCGAGAAGCCACTGAACACCCAGAATGACTGTTCGTGACAGGTCCTGAGCGCTAATCATGCAGCCCTGCAGCCCAAATCCAGAAGGATGAACAGACGTTTCATGCGGGTTGCTTCAAGGTTCACTGCCTCAGGGCGGGTGTCAGCAGGGGGTACGCGCGAACGTTGTCTGACCCTCAGGCGCCCTTCCACAAGCCTATGGAGGTTTGCAAGTTCAAGCTGCTGGTCGTCCTCGATCCCCAGGCTCCGAACACCCGAAGCTTATAAGCACTCGCAATAGTGTTGGTGGACGAAGGCAGAGTCTGAATAAGGGGCAGTTGCTAGAACTGCCGCTCTTGCTCGACTGCTGGGGGTTCTGCTGCAGAGGCAGAAAGTGAAAGTCCCAGCATCTCGACGGCTAGCAGTTTTGTACTACTGCTGACCTGGTAGCAGTGGGGCTTCGGCTCTGGGGTTCCTGTGTAGTATTGGGGAGACCCTTCAAAGGGGGGTCTAGAAACCCAAGGGTCCCCACCTAATCCTAACTCCTACGGGGGCGATCCCATGCAGCCCGAAGCAGGCGGTTTACTTCAAGCGAACTTGGTGCCAGAAGCTCAGCGAGCCTTCGCTCGTGAGGCTGCGTCACCGCGGAGGACAGTGAATTTGAAGTCGCAGTAAATTCTGGGTTGAGGCGAGCCGCGGAATCCGGGGTCCCGGCTCACTCAAAACTCCCAGTTCTGTGCTTCCACAATGTGTGACCAAGCCGAAGCACGGGTTTTTGGATACACAGAGGGCCACTGCGCTTAAGGAGGCGGGCGAACTTAGAGGGGTCCGGCCACCACCCTCCAGGCCCAGAAAGATCCCTCGAAGGAGCCGTGGAAGGAATCCAGCAACGAACCCTTCAAAGGAACACCTTTCTTTCCCCTTTCCGTCCCCTCCCCAACCCTCAACCTCCCTGGAAACCTGGAATCTAAAAGCCCTATAAGCCCTAGACCCCCCTTCCCAAACCCTGAACTTAACCCTGCAATGCGGGCTCGTCCTTGCTAAGTGGGAGGGAAAAAACCCCCTAAACCCTAAACCCCTAAATCCCTAAACCCCTAAACCCTAAACCCCCAAAGCCCTAAAACCCTAAACCCCAAACCCGAAA